AAAAAAAAAAGAAACAGAGACCTCCCACTGGAAATCACGGCACAGTACTTCCCAGCCATCAGATCACAAATGATCTGATGGTGGTGGTTGCAACAACAGTGAACGAAGCAGGCCATATCAGGGAGTCTACCCAACAGGGAGTCTACCCAGCAAGATTACCTAAGCAATGCAGGCCAAAAAAAATGTTGTTTATGGTTTTGATATTTTTAAAAATACACGAAGTTATAAAAAAAAACAAAAACAAAAAAATTGTTGTACATCTTTGAAAGATCTACAACCGCATTATTTATTTATTTTTTTCTGTTTGTTTTTTAGCCCTTAAAAAATCTTTGTGAAACCCAAAAAAAAGACTCATGTCATTTCTTGTTTTTGTTTTTTTCATTGTGCTTACGTTATTGATTTTTTTTAAAAAATATATTAAAAGCTCAAAAAATAAAAATAAAACTATGGGGTCGTAGACCTCGAAAAGATCTACGACCCCATATTTTTTGTTTTTTTTTTCGATTATGTTTTGTCTAGGAAAAAAATCATTGTGGACCCCGTTTTCCCCCGTCCATCAACGCGCGTTCAATAATTCAACGCGGAACCCGCGTTGAATCCAAAATCGGACACACAGCTCGTGTGAGTAATATCAACCACTTTTCTCTGAAGGTTTCTCTAACTTTGGGCAGGCGGTTAAGGTTCACCCTCCAGATGAGTGGGTTATAGTTCCAGGAAACAATCAGGCAAAGCAATGTCTCTTTTTTTTGTGGAGTTGTGTACAGCCAACATCGCACACACATACACAAGCACACACCCCGCCCGCCCCCCCACATACACACACAGATAGATAGATGGGGGGAGAGAGAGAGAGAGAGAGAGAGAGAGAGAGAGAGAAAGAGAGAGCAATATAAGTTGTGCTGAGGGTGAAAGAGATACTACCGAAGGAGTTGCAGACTGTATGCGAGCTCTGGCAAAGCGTCTGAGGTCCTTCACCTCGCTGCCGTGCGCTTCTCTTTCGTTGGGAGTTTCTTGCTTGTCGTGCAGCCGCGACCATGGCCAGTCTAGGTAGCAGCGGGGGTTCTGGGGGCCTGATTGGAGTTGAAGGAGATGCAGACGTGGGGCTTCGAGGAGTCCGCCGTTCAGCTTCTGAAGGCGGAACTGCTGTGCTCGAAGGCCGCAGCAGTCGGGGAGCAGCTCTCGCTCGGACGGCGGTCCGCACCTCTAGACGTCTGTTTCTCTCACAAGTCTCCGTCAGTGAGAGGTTGCTTCTGCCGCTGCTGATGGTGGCTATATGCTGCCATCTGGACGGGACACTCAGTGCTGCAGGAAGAGGAGGAGGACGGGGGCTGATCAGAAGTGTTGAAGCCGCTGTTGAAGCCGAGGGTCATTTCGCAGGACCGGACCCATCGCCCTTCACTGTCAAGCGTTCGAGTGAGCGGTTCTTGCAGGCTGCCGGTAGTAGCGCACCTGCGTCCTCTCCTGTGGAACCCGATGTCCCTCCCTGTGTCACCATCTTGAACACCTCGGTTATCACGGCCTGCACACCTTTGCTCGAGCACCCAGTGCCTGACGCACTTCTTGAGGTCGCGAATGAGAGTGAGTTCTTGTTCGCAGCTTCAGAGTGCTCTTCCAGCATCTACAACATAGTTGTGCGTCCCAACGCCTCCGGGCTGTACTACCTGGTTACTGACGTATGTCGCGCAAAGGACTTCTACAGCGTGACTTATCTCCGATCAATTATGGCAGTCAGCTTCGAAGGCAGCTCAGGCAGCATGGGCAGCCTCTCTCCGCCAGCTCAGCAATCGCAGCCCAGTCCTCTTGTACAGGTCAGTGTCCTCAGTTATGTCTGGCCTTTCGCCAGTCCGTCGGGCCCCCCTCCTGCTTCTGCACCTATTGCTGAAAATAGGACGCAACTAGAATCGCTGGCCAACATTTACACTGCAGCTCTGTCGTCTGATGGAAGCCATCTGATCATGGCTGCCTACCCCTCTCCACCAACCGAGACATCTTGGGTGGTCTCCTTGGATGTCATCTCTGGAGTTCGCTTCTCCACTCCAGTGAGCCTAGGAACGGTCTACGGCCTGGCTTTCAATCCCAACCACACGGCACTGTACATGGCGGACTCCCTCATCCCGCCCCGGATTTTCGTGGCTGAGGTCGCTGGTTCGACTCCTCTTCTTCCTGCTTCGCTGAACACCTCCGTTTTCCTTACGCTCAGTCCTGGCAACTTCAGCAGCCCAGAGTTTGGCCCCTACAGCTTCGCGGCAGACGGCAGTTGCCTGTACTTCATGGACAGCGGCCGATACAGCGTGTGGGCGCTTCACATAGCCTCTCGCAAACTGATACCTCTCTCTGGACGCGAAGTTTCCTTATCCGTTGGAGATCTGATGGAGATTGCCGTTACATCGGACGGTCGTAATCTCTTCTTCACAGACTTCGTCGGCAAGCTGCATCTCATCACTCTCGACTCTGCGTGTGGCAATCCTCTTTCCTACCAGATCGTTGCCAGGCGGCTGAGAGCGGGCATGTGGGGCTTGGCAATCAGTCCTGACGACAAGTACTTGTACGTAGGAACCATAGATGGCCGCATATTAAAGCTAGACATAGGCCAGCTCCCCTAGAGGCTAGACCCACCTTGCTTGGCTCAGCCTTGCGGTTGCCCAAAGATAGTCCCTCCTATTATTATTATTGCGAGAAAAGAAAAAAAAATTAAGTCCCTTAAGGTGGTGGGACCTTACTTCATCCTTCCTGTCAAGTGCAAATTTTACGTTGACTTGCCTATCGTGACTCACGACTCACCCAGGTTAGCCTGACTGAATCTAGCCTTATTCCTGGGCAAAAGGTACAATGTAGTACTGATGTTAAGTATGGTGGAGTGGGGGTGGGGTAACCTCAGTAGAGTCACAAAAAAAGGAGTTATAATTGCACTATGGGGAAAGATACAATTTGCAATTGCATTTGGGGCACCCTACCTGGCCAGAAAGCTGGGTTGTGTTCATTTCCCGAACTTCAATTTCAAACTGCACCTTGGCCCCCAGTGCAATTACAACTCACAAGTTAAGTACAATATTAAGGTGGCACTAAGTGCAATTATAACTCACAAGTTAAATACATTATTAAGGTGGCACTATAGGCTGATTGGGAAGAACTCCACGTTCAGAAGAAAGCTGCTCCGCTAAAGCTGCAGTGAAATGGTTTCTTAGAAGATGGGGAGTTTGTGATGGACTGTGTATGGTTGCTTTGCCGGCAGGAGCATTTCCTACTTTGTTTTTTTTTTATTTCTTTTGTGAACTTGTAAAATTGCGAGATTGTGTACTTGTAAATCTGTGAATTTGCGACCCTCTGTGACCATTTGTACTTAATATGTACGAGTTCCGACTGCATAATGCCCTAGTATCAGGATACTTGACCACTGTAGATAAGTGCCTGGGGATCTTTTGACACTCAGATATGATAATCAGACAGGATATGGATAATATTATTGAATTGGAAACCCAGATAGGATATAGTTAGCCTTTACAGGATGGTAATTTTCTTTTGTGCCTTGGACAAGTTGGTTTTCCTCCTTTTTTAGTACTGGGGGGGGCCTGGGTGTCGGTAGCTGGATGACTGTGGTTGGGGATGGGATTGGCTGGAATTGCCTTCCCTAGCCTTGTATGGCTGCAACATTCATGTGAGGGACGCTGGGCCCGTTTCCCGGCTTTAATTGAAGTTTCAACCCTTGTTAAAAAAAAAAAAAAAAAAAAAAAAAAAAAAAAAAAAAACCCTTCATTTTTGTGACTACCATGTAGTTTCTCCTTTTTTTTTTTTTTTTTTTTTTTCTCTACGTGGCAGCAATGAGGAATGTTTCCGAATTTCTGTGATTAGGCCAAAAAAAGAGGCTTGAAGAGAGAGACTTGTGGGAATTTTCAGTTCATATTTCAATTTTGGATTTTTTGGTACGGTAACCATATCTTGCCGTCTCCCGGGTGGTAGTGGTGTTTGCTCTTATCAGCACCACTAACACTATGGTGGACGTTTTTCTCAAAAAAAAAAAAAAAAAAAAAAACATATCTTGATCTGCCCTTATTTTTCGGGACTATTTTTTTTTTACGCGGACGTCTGTTAGGAATTCCTTGTATTCTTGCACTCTCTCTCTTTTTTTCCTTTTCTTTTTTTCCCAACACCAGTCGGCCCTGCTGGTGGTGGTGATACGAGCTCCCACCACTAGCTGCAGCCCTCCTGCTGACTCCAATCTACTGGTGGGGAGCAGCACCTGCTGGAAATCAGGTCCAGCGCCCCTTATACGCAATCACACAGAGATTGAGTCTTGCTCAGAACATGAAAGAATAACCTGGGATCATAAGGGCCGCGAGATCGCACTGGCAAAGAGGATTGGAACAAGTGTCTGAATCTTGAAGTGTTTGTGGCGAGGTGCAAAAGATTGTAATTGATCTTCTTTTCTGCATCTCCGTGTGGAACACATCCAGATTCAGACACTTATTCCAATCCTCTTTCCCGGTGTGATCTGGCCCTGAGTCTTTCAAGGATGATTTACGAAGCGCCAACAACCACATCCAAAAGCAGCAATGTCGAGACGCGTTTACAGCTACATGGTTGGACAAGAACCGGTTATTGGCTGAGTTGGACACCCAGAACAAGCCAGTCTAGAAAAGGTGGGTAGCGACGGAACCATCCTGAAAGAGACAACCTTTGTCACACTTCCGGGCGGCCCATCTGGAACAAAACTTTGCCCTTATCCCGGCCTCCTCCCGAGCGTCTGATCATGCCCCGCCTGAGGGCACATGACTGATTAGCATTTTAAAGTAACCCTCGCTCGCACCCCCCGTCCTCCCCACTCCTGCCACCAGGCTGTGTATCACCCGTGGCCGCGGCCGCAAGGTCAAGCTTGGAGGGCGGCCGAGTTCATTTCCGCATCCGTGGCTGGCCACGTTTTTCACGGATTTTTCCCATCGAAATAATAGGCAAAACTAAAAAATAAAAAAATGGGGTTGTAGGGTTTTTTCAAACCCTACAACCCCATTTTTTTTTTAAAGGAAACAATCTAGGCGACCAGCCGGGCCGCCCGGGTCACCCTTTTTTCCCGGACGACCCGCCCATGCAAGGACCAGGGAGGGTCCAAAAAAAAAAAAAAAAAAAAAAAAAAAAAAAAAAAAAAAAAAATCCTATAAAAAAAAATGTTATGCCAAAAAATAAACTGAACAACTTTTGCCTCAGGGTCACATTGAAGTTATTTACTAAGGACTGCTATGCCAGCCTCAACTCTAAGCTACATACTAGGAGGATAGCCCGCCCTCAATCGTGAATAATGGACTGTATGTATTGACCCTGGATGATCTATTAGCCCTGTGTCGTATGGTAATCTGAGAGCAGACAATCCTCCGTTCCCTCGCATGTCCCTGGAGCCCGTTCCTGCCCCGGGGTGAAGTGCAGTATGTCCCAACACTCCCGACATCCCGTACTAAGGAACTGCTATGACCAGCTAAGTTACAGTCTGGTATCGAACACAGGACCTTATGTGAATCGTGCAAGTGACCTAACCTATAAACCTACACTGTGAAATAGTCTGTAGCTGAGCTCTGCTGGGCTCGAGTAAGCCGGACTATGCAAGGCACCCAGCAGTCTCATGACAACCCCGTAGACCAAGAACACAAGGATACCCACCATCGCCCGGTCCCCACACACAACAACCATAGACTACCCCTTGGGTGGTGCGCAGGCAGTGTCTGTAATAACTTACCTGCGTCATCCCAAGGGGGTGTGTGTCCAGCCGTGCGTCATTCTAACACCCTGCCGGTGTCCATGCGCAAGGCTGCGGAGTTTTGAACCCGCAACCACATACCACAATGCGCATTTCCAACCAGTGCTCTAACCAGTGCGTTACATCCACTGGACACTTTGTGGGAGGGTCCTTTCTTCACGCCTGTACCTTCAATACTCTTCCCTTTCTTCTGTCCTTTGCCTTTACCCTATTCTTTTTCCTTTTCCTCCCATCATTTTCCAGCACCGAGGATTCCACCAGACCTCCCTTTTCATTTCCACCTCCTTCTATGCCTTCCTTCCGACTGTCTTTCCCATCGTCCCTCTTTACCTCGACGTAACCTCGTTTTTCTGACCATTGCCTTGCCCTTTTCAAGTTTTTTAAGGAAAAGAAAACAAAAAAAAACGTGGGGGTTGGAAAATTGTGTTTCTGGCTGTCAGACCCTTTCATGCGACCAACGGCTAAAGGGAACCTGCCCACAGGAGCATTTGCGCCACACACACACACACAC